AGATCATAAAAAACTACAAAAAAAAAAGAATCCGACCATTAGAGAGCGCCACATCACCGTTTTGATATTCAGTTTTATATAGATATATAGATTTATGTAAATATAACCAAAAGTAGCAGCATTTCAGATTCTACATTGGACAAATTACCGCACAACAATATTTTGTTTTCTTGGTGTAAAGGAGAGTCAGTGTGAGAGAGGAGCGAGTCAAGATAACATAACCTATTTCATCAAAAAATTATATTATACATAAGTTTAATACTATTTTTTCTATCATAGAAATTTAATTTTCTTAAATTGTTCATATATCTATCTTTTTATATTCTAAATTCATTAGTGGGAATTTTTACTTCACTATTGTGTAAATGTATTTTGTTTTCTTAGTGAAATTACATGGTCGTCTCAACAAGTTTGGGGGCCTAAAACCAAACATTATAAAGAGGCCCTATTCTTTTAGTTTTTGTTTAAATGCCCTATTTTTTTAGTTGATAAATATAAATTGAATAATTATAATACACTAGCGTAATCCTACAAATGAGGTCTGAAGAGGTAGGATATATGTAGACATTATGAAGTAAGAATGCAAATAATGTAAATTTTCAATGAAAACTATATAATATAAAGTTAGAATAATAAAACATGACTCAAAATTTTAAAAAATATGATGATATTAAAATAGTGTAGCGATGAATTTGATAAGTTAATAAATAATATTAAAATAGTGTTGATTAGTTTTAGTGCTTGAAATTTAAATAAGACACCAAAAACAAATTTAGTCTTTTTATAAACCCACAACAATAGATATCACATAATGTAGAATGTTTGAACGTTTGAGAGACTTAAGAATATTCAATAATAAAAAGTAAGTATAAGAACACAATATTGTTGGTTCATGATAATCGTCAAAATATAAATGAGCTAGAAAACAAAATAGATAGCCATATGCGAAATTAGAAAGGATACTACAATTAACTAGCCACATGAGAATCTAGAAAAGACACTACAATCAACTAAACAATATTCAATTTCTCAATTATATTTTCTATACAAAAAATTACTTTCAAATTTATCAGTACATGAATTTTTTTAACAATATATATACATATACATTAGTGGTTTAGTGGCCTTATGGCCCAGACTGCCCTGAGTGTAAAGAAGAGTTTTAAAATGTTAACTCGTTAATATTACAGTCTTATCAGGTGTTATTGACTTCAAAATTGTGATCTAAATTATTATTATTATTATTATAAAATGATATAATTCTTTCAAATTTAGTGTTCCTAAAATGTTTATCCAAATAATTACAATATCAAACACTATAGAAACTAGTAATAAAAGTAAATTATCAACGCATAGCTAGGTCAAAGAGAAATTTGGTAAAATATTGAGGACACACTTTGCTTTGCTTTAGCAATTAAGGTTGTATAACATCAACAAAGAATTGTGTTGAAATGGTAAGTATAATGGCGAATTCAGAATTCTTGACTTGTGGGTGCTCACTTTTTTAAAATATAAAATTACTATAAATCACATAATATAAGTACATAATTATTTAAACGCTATATTAAAAACATTAATGGAAAAAAATAAGATTAATTCTACCATTGAAAGAAAAAATCAGTTTTTGAAGAAGTTTATTTTAGCTTGCAGGTTTTCTTAACCAAATAGCCAAAATTACTCAAGAAAAATAAGGAAAGTAATTGGACATGACTTTTAAATTTTGTCATCTCACAAGAAATTCATTAAACGTAAAAGATATTAAGACTAAAAGTTAAGTATACAGAGAAAGTAAAAAGAAAAAAACATGTGAGTTTATACTGAGAGGGAAAGAAAAAAATAGCAAATGTGTAATTAATTATTTGTTATTGGCGAGAATCGAACCCTTAACTTCCTCTAAACACAAAGTCTTCAAACTAGCCACACATTCAAAGCATCCATTCGGAGATTTGTTCATTTGGTGCTGAATGTTTAATATAGTCAATTTTTAAAGAAATTGTTATATATATAAATAATTTTACGTCGAGGTTAATAGGTGATTGAGCACCCAGAAGGGTGTATGTGGGTCCGCCCCTGGTTAAGTACTCATCCTTACTAGAGGTTTCGAGTTCAGGTTTGAGTCCCCTGGTATGTAATCATCTTTGTTAGGGAGCGCTTTATCACCTAATGTGAGATTTTTTGATATAAATTTAAATTTAATCGGGCTCCAATATAAATATCGAACGCCAAATAGAATTAAGGTTGTATAACTAAGCACATGAATTGTTGAAGCACAGAGAGGACAAATGCCCACTGCTTTATATTATATTGTGGTCACAAATGGTTTGATTTATTTTTTAACAAAATAAAATAAAATAAATGAGATAGAGATTTTTAATTTTATACCTGCTATCTACTAATATGTCAGACCTTTCCTTTTCTCTTTTTTATATATTTCCTATCTCATCTTATGCTAAGTTTTATATAAGAGTGATTTTATTATTTTGCAAACAATAAAAAGATTAAAGTGTAAATCAATAAAAAAAATTAAAACAAAATGGAATATAAATCACACAAAGAAGCATACATTAAAGTTGCAACACCAAAAACTCTTCAAATGAAGTGAACACTATAAGGAATTACTTACCATCCTAATTTAAGAGAAAAAAAATATGAAACTTATAATCTTAAAATAAATTTTAAAAACTTTTATTCTCATTAATTATTTTATTAAGAATTTTTTAATTATTATTTTATTAAGAATAACATGAAAATTAAAGTTAAATTATTACGAAATATAAAAAGATATCATCATTTAACTAAAAAGGAAAATATATTACAGACGAATGAGGTACTATTTTTTATCATTTGGAAGTACTAATATAATTGATTATTTTTTTTATCCCCATTCTACCTGAAGTATTTCTTAATTCTTTTCTCCTGATGTTTTTTCTCATTTACAAAAAATTAATCTTAATACTGAATATCGTTAAATATATATTATATATACTAGAAAAAGTATAAAATTTAATCGACCGCCTAAAACCTCAAAGATACTGTACACTTTTTGACTTTGGAAGATGCATGCAAGGCCATCTCCTACCCTACCCTCTATATTACTATCCAAATATAGAGTTTTTTATTTCTTCGAACAATTAACTCCAATTCATTTCTTTATTTTACTCTCTAAAAAAATCTTCTTCTCTCTTCTCAATATTATATTATTATTTTTATTTCATTTTCTTATTTTATAATATAAATCATTTCTTTTTTATTTCCAAACAATCACCCTATATAATTTTTTTCTTCTTCAAATTCATTATTTAATATAAAATTATGTTTTATTCTAAATTTCTTAATAACATAAACTGCAAGCAAATATTTATATATTATACATAATAATGGATAATTCAAATAAACTAAAAGCATTAACGATATATTACACAAACATTACATTATACTCAAATTTCAAAATTATTAGTGCATTGCTCTCATAAATGTTTTATTAATACATTATGGAGTTCAAAATGAGCATTTTGCGCATTCTTTTATTTGTATTATCATGTTATGTAATGTATTTTTAAATTAAAATTTTCATCTTATCATACAAATTTTTGTGCATTCTTCATAGTGAAAAATAATAATAATTTTAAATTATATCACTTAAATTGATAAAAAAAATTAAAAAAAAATGAAATATTAGTATTAATTTAGAAGGAAAGTAGAATATATTAAATAATATATGTTTATTAAATGATATATTACATTTTAAAATATTACGAATATTAGAGATTTATTTAATGGTCTTATTTTAATTATAAATATTATATAATAGAAATAATAATAAAATAATCAAAAAGTGAAATTGAGAGTATGAAAAAAAAATGTCCCAAAATAACTATCCTCTTAAGCATTGAAGACAAAAATTAATATGTTTTTTCTTATTATATTCTTATTAGGGGTATGGAAAAATTGAATCGACTGATAAGTCGAATCGAAAAAGTGCTATTGGTTTTGGTTTTTAAATATTGGTTATTGGGTAAATCGATAACTCATTAAGATTGTAGTAATTTACTTTACCCATACATAATTATTTAATATTAATCTCAATACCTTACCCTTTGGCCTTCAATTTACACTTTACAATGTTTGAGTTCATAACTTCATTATATAAACCGTAAAAAACCTAAAGTAAGAACATTATTCTTCTTAATTTCTCTTTGTGTTATATTTGTATAGTTCTTTTCATCTTAGTTATTACTATTTCTATTTTATGAACATTAGTAAAGTTACATTATTTACTTGTCATGTTAAATTGTTGGAGAAATCATATATTGATTTATAAGCATTTTCATATTGGTTAAATCGAAAATTGGACCATTAAGGACCAAAACCAATAAACCAAAAATCGATAAAAAAAATAACTTATTGGTTTGATTATTGATTTAACGTATTTAAAATTCGAAAATCGATAATACATAAAATTGAATTGAACCGAACCGATCTATGCACACTCCTAACTCTTACCCTCCATCTTCATAATAATGTTCATTTTTCAAAAGACATTTATTAAATAAGAATAGTTAAGTAAATTACACGTTATATTTTTTGATTTCATAAAAAAACATATATTTTGTTAAAACACATTTATTTTGAGATGGAAGAAATATTACTTATACAAAATTTAAGATTTACATAACGCATCTCCAAATCACATTTATATTTAAGCTTGACTAAGTTTAAATTTGTGCTAAAAAATCTTACCTTTCCAATAAAGGTGATTACGTATCGACTCGAACTCGAAACCTCTCTCTATCCATAAGTACTTTACCTCAAAACTTCTAATTAAAAATGAAGAAGAATTTGCCACTTTATCGCAACTTACCCTCTTTAGAGATGTGAATATAAAAAGAAGTATTTTCAGATCTGTTTGGTAAAAAATGAAAGATGTTCAATTGGGTGGACCAAAAGGCTGTATTATTAAATCTCCACCACAAGTCTTAAAGAAGAATCCAAAAACATAGAAAAAGTTGAAAGCTGAATTTTTGTCTAGATTCAAGAATCCAACCAAAAAGATGTAACCCCTAATTTCTCAAGGGCCATTAAGTTTTGTAAACCACCAAATTGCAATAAAATCTTAGGGAACTTGAGGTGAATAGCAGGATAAGCCCCTCATGCTGTGACTATCAATAAATCAACCATAAAGAAGAGATTTTTGGGTCAGAAACTCAAGTTTCTGAGTTGGGTTTCTCTTAAACATGGTTGAACGTTGTCTTATGGCTTCTCATGGTTATCCTCCTTGCCTTTTTTCACCTCCAGAATTGAAGGTTTTAAAGGTAAGCTAGTTTTATAACTCTTTTATGAGTTTGATTTTTAGTTATTGATTGATTGATTAGATTAGATGATGGGGTTTTATTTATTTTCATATTTCTTTTGTGTCAATTTTTACTTGTTTTGATGCTCATAGTTTTGTTTTGTGTTGTTTTTCCTGGAAATTCTGGGCTTTGCTGGTAAATGGGGTTCAATTGTTAAGGTATGGGATATAATAATATGATTATTTTCTTTAAAAAAAAAGAGGCAATATTTGATCATGTAGTCTGATCTAGATGACCGTTCCATTGTTGGTGATGAACGTAGTGAGATTATGTTGTCATTCGAATTTGGAGGTGCAGTGATCAGCATCTATATATTAAAACACACCTCGAAGCTGATTAGGCCATCTATCGGTTGTTATTTTTTCTACATGTACTGTGACCATCTATGTATTAAATCATACATAGTTAAGTAGATGGTAATGGTTCACGTAAGAAAAGGGATTAAGTGATAGTTGGCCTAATCAGCTTCGAGGTGTGTTTTTTAATACAAAGATGGTGATAGATCAGGTAGGAAAAGGGAATAACTTATACCTAGGGTGTGAAACTCGTGAAAAAAGTGACAATTCAAATGTGTTTTTGACCATTTACTCAGTATTTTTATTTTTATTTTGTTTCTAAATCTTCTATACATACATATAGTTTGAGTGCTACTTGTATATATGCTGGTTTTCTCTATATCTGATTCCACAATATGCTAAGATGGTTGAAATGAAAAAATCAGTAGTTCTAGTTATTATCTTCCTTGCCTCCTACAAGCCTGGAGCGTATTCAAATATATTGTTGGATTATCCGACTTGAAAAGGGAAACATCTCATACTTATCATCTTGTTTTCCTATAATAGAAGCATATTCTTTGTAATTAGAGATATGTTATTTGCATTAGAGTTGCAACTTTTTTGTGGATTTGCTTTAATTTTGAGATACCAAGTGACATGCACCTAAGATATCTTAGGTGTAACAATCTTATATCTCAGCGTATATAAGCCCTGCTTCAGATATTTGTTATTCCCTGTTATTTAAAGAATTGTCAAGTTGTCTGACAATTGATGAGCAGTTTATCACTTTAGTAGTCTACTCTGATCTTTAACTTCAAGTGATTGTAGACCCACTAAAATGGTATGCTTTCTTTTTAATTGCAGGATAGTCTTCCTTTTTTTCCTATTCCTGGAGTGAATCAAGATATTGCGAAGTCAAGTTGTGCTAGCGTAAGGTTTAATCAAAGACTGGATTTATGGAAACCGATGAGTCGGTTATTGGCAGGCAATCCCTTTGTCAGGATCCTATCAACTGCTGAAGGACCAGAACTCATAGATGCACGAGGTTCATAGTTCACACTACCTCAAAATTTTGCTTAAATTTTGAGTTTTAAATTGCTTGATTATCTTAGATGGATCGTTACTGCTCATGAAATCTTTTTAATACTGTACCGTACTGATAATACCATCTTGCATGTGATGGTCTGTAGGGAGAGAGAGAGAGAAACAACAAATGCTTTGAGGATATCTCTATCTCAATCCAAAAAATAAAAAAGAAGTGCATCAATACTATGTATTTTTGGTGTAAAGAAGAGGGTATAGAAGAAGTTGAACAGTTAGTAGACTTTTTAGGATCTTTGTAATTACTGCAACTTTCTACTGTTTTTTGGAGGTTGCCAGCGTATCTGTACTGCTGAAGAATACAACTTTACCTTTATCAAAAATACTGTACCATGCTGATAAATTCTATCTTTCCTGCAGACGATCACTTGAACTCAGTGCTCTTGAGCTTTGGGATTGCTGAACAATGCACAAGGCAGGAGAATATTTTGAAGTACCTTAGATCTGGATCAAACGATGTAGAAAGCGGTGAAATAGATATATCTACACTCTTTGATCTAATGGGACCACTGGTACATGCGATAAACATGCATCAACAACAATTTTCTTCTTATCTCGAACAACAGTCTCATGATGCTAAGTCTCAGCCATCTCTTGTGTATCCAAGTGCTGCGCTCCACCTATGGGAACCTTCTTCAAATTTGATAGGACTCAATTTAGGAAAAATGATTCATTCTGATGGCCGTCTATTAGTTAGTGGTGCCACTGCTAGCATTGAGATGAAGGACATACTTTCAATCATCTCCGAGTTCTACTTCTCAAAAGACTCAATGAAATGCACAAAGCATGCAATGGTGGTTCCATACTTTGACAGGTAGCAATAATTTCTTTGCTTGAATTCTGCCCTTAAGTTTTTGTTGAGTAGATGTGACAAGTGCTTCCTTGTCCATTTGGTTTATCTTATTGAAAATAAAACTTGTTGGGCTTTGCTCTTCTGTATTGATTCTCCTCTGTGAACAAAAGTAGCCCATAAAAGCTTTTGTTCTGGCTTGCAGCACCATAGGTTTGATCTGGTTCCGACACTCAAATATAGAGATATCGTAGCTAAATTATTATTTTTCTTTCTTGAATAATTTGGTAGCTCAGTTGAAGTGTTAGTGCCTCGTCTCTCAGATGCCACTAGAAGGTGACAAAATGTGTTGGCAAAATATAAGAGCAACAAGATAACGATTATCACTGTTGAGGACTAGATTGGGAAGTGATTAAATAGTTTAAATGAAGCCTCTACCATTATGAACAAGTAAATGCTTGGCATAGTTGCATATTACCAGAAGGTATGAATACAATGATGCAATCAAGACAATAGTAGCCAGAGGGGCATGGGAAAAGAGGATGCATAGACAGTGATTTGCCAAAGGAGTGTAGAAAAATCCTAGTTCGGAAGTACAAAAACACTAGGTGATTTCTTCCCATATGTCCTAGCCTTGGTGGACACAATTACCTTGTAACTGATGCTAGTGGAGGCGACATGTATCTAGTGGAATTAGTCAAGGTGCGCGCAAGCTGGCCCTGGCACCACAATTATCAAAAAAAAAAAGAAAAAAGAAGAAAAGTGTAGTGATATCCTAATTCAGTTAGAACCCCTAGAAAACCAAGGTTTTCATAACAGGTGAAAAATAAGCATCTTAGCATGTAACTGTTAGTAACTATTGCTGGTGGGAAGCGACTGGTATCTAGTGGAATTAGTCAAAGTGCATGTGGTTATCAAAAAAAAGTCCTAGTTTGGAAGTGAAGTGATATCCTAATTCAGTTAGAAGCCCTAGAAAACCATGGTTTTCATATCAGGTCAAAATAGGCATCTTAGCATGTAACCGTTCTGATCCTATGGGAAAGGGTACCATGCTCAAATACCCTGGCGTACATTCTTTTACTCTGAGCTGTAAGAGGGTCCAGGTCTTCCACCTGTATGGGTTTGCCTTGGTAGATGCTTGTTGTGTGCCTCTATGGGAAAGACATAGGTGGGAGGTGTTTTCTAGTTGTTGCTATCTACATGTTAATGTAATGCAACTAGATTAAGCTTGGTTCATCATGGCAATGAGCCAGCATCATAATTGTCAAGGATTTATTAGCTTCTATTGGTTTGAACCATTTAGAGTGGTGAGGTTAGGATATTATGCTTCAGAAGTATGTAGATAATAGCACAAAGGATGATCAAGTTTGGGAAATTGGGGATGTCACAAATTGGTGTCGGGGTGAGCAACAGCTCTTCGGCCTCTTTCACCTGGGCTAAGGGGAAGTCATGCTCAATCGTGTATTCCAGATTGGTACTTCTGTATACAAGAAATAGGTGAGTTACTGACTGACGAGTTTAGCTATTGACCGAAACTATATAGTTGCTCAGAACCATCTTCTTCTTCATCAATTGAGACAGTATGTAATCAAAATAGTACCACTAAAATCATCCAGCATGTTAGTTTCCCTGTCTGTTAATACTGAAAAGAATGTATGTGTTTGATAAAGTGATCACAGCCCCTCAAGGTTTAAGTGAAGTTATTCTTTGTGCAGGAAGACATGCAAGACAAAGTCTAAAGGTGAAAGTTCTGCTCAGAAACTTGACGTGAATGCAGCATCTCTAAGGAGGTATCAAATTCATCTCATATACCCTTTTTTCATGCTCTTTGTGCTCTTGGCTAAATTTTTTGTTTTACGATACCTATGACATGGAAATATTATCCAAAGATACATTTGATCTGTGCTTTGAAGTTTTGACTTTTTTTTGAATACTTTCAATGATTATTTGACTGGTAACTGTAGCAGAATATGTTAAACATGCAACAAGGATATATTTAGCTAATAAGGCAATTCGACAAAGCAAATAGATTTTATTACTATGGAGGTTGTAAATAAGGAAGCAACCACATAGCTGAATGTATGATCCATGTTTCCCATATCTAGGATAAGTAGTTCACTTCTCAGGTCTGAGGTTTTGCCTTTGTATACTCTGTCGTAGTATTCTTTAGGGAACAGTTGAGCAGTATCTCTATTTGACACGTCTACTAAAACCATGACGATAATTTCCATATTTCTGCTTGAATATTCATATAATTACTGCACATTATGAAGAGGGAAATGAACAAGGACATAGAAGTGCCCTATCTCAATTGTCAGATACTTAACTATTGTTGATCTATATAAGTTATTTACTGTAGTCAGCCTATTTAATAGGAGGAAAGAAATCTAAACTTTCATGTGTAATAGCAATCAGTTGCATGAGCTCTAATATCGTGTAGTTTCTAGTTTACACTACCACAGGAAGAATCCTCTCTCACACGTTTACACTTTTTGACAGTCCTCAGAAAACAAAGTACCAGACATCACCGCAGAGAAAGAGCAACAAGAGAGCAGTTAGAGAGAGTGAGATCTACAGGAACAATTACCTCCATGCATGTGAAAGCCTCCTATCCATAATAGTTGACAAGAAACGGCATGGGAAAACTGCAATACTTTCATTGAAGAAATCGGGTCCTCAACTACCACACTTTCTGACCACGTTCTCTGCTACCATTGCTGGAACTGGCATAGCCGTCCTTTTCTCAATTGCCTGCAGACTAGCCTGTGGAAGAATCGTCTTCTCTGCACCTAGACTGTTGAACACTGGTTTAGGCCTTGGACTTATATGGCTCTCTTGGGCTGTCAATAATTTGAGGGACACAGTTGTGGTGATCAACAGAAGTCCAGGCAAGTTGGATATGATAGAAGATGCTATGATGAGTAATTTGGACAAAAATGTGAAGGAAATCTACTTCAGAGCCGCAACTTTGCTGGCAGTCGTAGTGCTGAGGCTTGCTTGATTTCAAGAACACAAGATTTAGAGACTGTAAAAACATGCACAGCTTGGGGGATGATATATCAATAGCTCGTTTTGGGACATCCAACTGTAATATAATATTTGAGCAGAAAGAAGTGGATTTTCACAGCACGAAACATACATAGTGAGTAACAAATCTCAAGCTCTTTCTACTCGTGTAGTTTGTTTTGTAGTGGATAGTCTTGTATAATGATGTGAATAACACTAGCACGAGAGTTCTAAGCTATTCGGATCTTAAAGAAAGAATTTTGACATTATGTTCAGGAGCCCAATTTAATTCATTCAGACAAAGTTGAATATTTACTAGTTATAATGAGGCCACAAAAGGATACAGAACTACAGAAGGCTGTGTGCTTTTATGGTCCAGTATACATCTTTTTCCTGCTACATTAAGTCTTGACAATGTTGTGATTTGCATTATCAGTCCAACTTTAATGTAAAAGTTATTTTGCCCCAAGTTAATTAAGATGCTAAGATTTGTGCAACTACACTTGGTTTGTTGTTATATACAATTCCCATTTCCAGAAATAAAAATCAAAGAATACAAAGACCAATACAGAACTTCCAAGTAACATTATCAGAGTTGAAGTCCAAGGTTCATCTCAATTCCGCACTACTGTCAAAGCTGAAATTTCGTGCATAGATGTGAAGGAAAGTTTAAGCCCATCAGACTTCGTAGGAAGCACATCATATACAGAACACCTGAGGGAATGCAAGCAAACAGCTCGAAATGATAGTAGGATTTATTGTGTACATATGATTACGCAGCATCTACCATGGAGTTTCTCGTGAATGCAAAAAAAACCATAGTTTATACACCAAAAAGTTCAATTTGGAGTAATAACTGCTTATGAACTATAAGATGCTACAAAGTGGACTACTTTCTCCAATATATTCAATTTCACGACGACACATCTCTTGGCATTGCAACAGAAAAAAATGTCAAATGATGATTAAATTAGCAATCGTCACGTGTCTTGTATTTCCGCAAGCGCAATAGAATTTTCATTTGTCAGCTCCTCTTGAGACAACCAGACTGAAACTGATCTTGCATTTTCAGAACCCTCAGCTCAGTACTTTAGAAACAACCCCAGCACCAACTGTTCGGCCACCCTCTCTCAGGGCAAATCTTTGTCCTGAAAAGTTACGGGTAGATGGGGCATAAACAATCAGATGGTGTACCGTTCAGAGAAATACTTTTCTTCAACAAGGTCGAACAACAATCAAATCTCTAAGAAGATATCCTTAAAACACATACAAGACATGCATAATTATGAGGCAGCATTCAAATGGAAAAGACAAGAAGAACCAATTTCTAAGTTGCAAAATAATCCAAAATCTTGCATTGGAATAGGTAGAATCAAACAGGGGTGTTAATGGTTCGGTTTGGCCAGTAATTCCAATATTTACACTACCGATTTTCAGTGAATCTACTGTGTATTAACATATTTTTCCAAACCGATCCTATCATCTTGGTTTCTCTTCTATTTCAGTTCTTAATTTTTGGTACTTCATTTTAAGAAGTCACATAAGAATATAAATGTTACTAGGAATCACATTTGTTACATAAAATACTATTGTTTTATAATGTTTAATTTATATTTGTTTAGAAAGATTATGTCTAATTTTTGTGTGATACTTCAATACATATATCATGGGTGCGGTTCGAGACTCATTGAAAAACGTCTTTATGGGGAAAGACCAATAAATCGGTCCAGTTCAGTTCTCAGTGTTGTAATAAACTTTTGACACCCCCAGAATCAAATTCAAAAACTATATATCAAATGGGTTTCACTGTACATCAAGGTTAACAGGATGGAAACTTAAGACGAAGTGGGCCAAGGCACCAATTCATGTGATGTCGCGAATCCAGTTGTTTTGAAAATGAGATTGATCATCACATTAGTAAGAATACTAAGAAAAATATTGAAGTCAATGTAAATGTTCCCTCAAGTGAGATGATCTCTTCTTTGTCAGGGGAGAAACATATAACCAGGCTAAGCATAAGTCAATATAATGCACCCCAAAGAATCTCCAGATCTCAATAAAATAGTATCACCTTGTAATTGACAATGACCATTTCAAAAATATTGTCACTATGCAACTTCAAGGGGAGAAAAGAAGAATAACTACAATCGCAGATGAACCCTTACTCCACAGACAAGAAAAAATCACAAAATGATTTATTTTAAAATACAAATACCTGTTTCAAGAGGAACTGGAGATATCAGCTCAAAAGTAGCTGTAACATTATCACCGGGCATAACCATCTTGACATTTTCAGGCAACTCCACTTTACCAGTAATGTCAGCAGTCCTCATGTAGAACTGAGGCCTATAGTTTGAGAAAAAAGCTGTGTGCCGACCACCTTCATCCTTGGTTAGTACGTATATTTCTGCCTCAAATTTCTTGGACGTTTTCACACTACCAGGCTTTGCAATCACCTATGGACAAATACTATATAAGATGCTGGAAGACACACATGTACATAGTCACATTATCAAGGTAATAGATTGGATTTTGACTTCATGAAACATCATACTATCAGACTTGAACAAGTACAACATGGCAAATAGCAAAATGCACCACAAAACTGTATGATTCTACCCTGATACCAAGCTACTTCTAGTAAAATTAGCAACCAATGTAAAATGTAGAACAAAAATGAAAGCAGAAGGAACTTATACAACTTTTCACAGATAAACAACTCTGCAGATAAGGTGGCACAAATGCTAAGTCACTTTATGAGTAACACACAGTGAGATTTGTACTTACCATTCCTCGTGTAATATCTTCTCGTTTTAAGCCACGTAGAAGAAGCCCGACATTATCACCAGCCTAATTAAGAAAATAAATCAGAATAGCGCCACACAATAAGTGATACATGAAAACTATTAGAAAGTTGCATGGATTGACTCAAGTCCTTACTTGACCATTATCCAAGATCTTCTTGAACATTTCAACACCAGTCACTGTAGATTTTAAAGTTCCCTATAAAAGAAAAATGATAACATGAACAAGTGCTAAGAAAAGCACAATCATAGTTCTTCTATGAAAGCACAATAATGTCCTTTAACATACAAATAAGGGGGCATAATTTCTCAAAACTACACATCCAGCTACGATTAAATTAAGCATCCTCATCATTACAATAATAGCTAACCACTACCTAGACTTGTTATTACAAGAGGTCATTGTGCCATTAGATACCATTATGTGTACTTGAGGAATACCCTCTCATTCCTAGTTTCTTATTGGTGCATTCATGAAGTTTCAGTGGGTCTATTATTTTGCTTGTTTACAAGAGATTTTTCTATACCTTGTAACAAAATTTACTCTTAACTTGTAAGATTGTGAAAGACTACATATAATAACCCATAACATCAATAAGTTACATAAAAGAATGACATTTGTTCATCCTAAGGTTTCAACAACACAGACAAATAGGAAAGGCATATCGAAGTCTAGATCACTAGCACAGGAAATCTGGAACATGCTATGAACCAATATATTCTCCCCCTAGAGAAAGTAGGTAATTGAATATGTGAATACGCTAACAACTAACCTGCATCAGCCCTAAAATCTCCACATCTTCTCCAACTTTTATTGTTCCCTGTTCAATACGGCCAGTAGCAACAGTTCCACGTCCCTTCAAAACATTAACGGTAACTGATCAGTATCACATTAGAAACAAGGTTCAAGCATTATTATTTTTCCTCTTTTGGAAATGAAAGATGGACTGCTGCAAAAAAAATATTTTTCTACCTTTCTCAGAGCAAAGGATTGTACTTAAATAAGCAGAAAGAGGTATAGCATCACAGCACAAAGGCTATGAACATATGGAAGTAAAAGATAAACCTCAAAAATGAAGTAGAATTCAAGGGACCGGAAAGAAACTGAAAAAAGCAAAGTCGTTTAACTGATCTCTGGCTAAACATGAGCTACTAGAATATCAGATTACCTGAATTGAGAATACATCTTCTACTGGCATTAAGAATGGTTTATCAAGCTGACGCACTGGATCTGGAATGTATTCATCTACAGCATCCATCAACTTTAAAATAGCTTTCTTTCCAATTTCTTCATTAGTTCCCTGTAAAGCAGAAAGAGCTGAACCACGGATGATAGGAATTTCATCCCCAGGGAACTTGTAGAAACTAAGCAGTTCTGCAAGAAAGGAAATCTCATGTAAGGAAATGAACATAACAAAGTCATGATAGCTGCAAGCAAGTTACCAGGACTTCAGGTTCTGCATAAGTAATAATACAATTGACAAAAGTACTGGAAAAGCTGGCACACCCCGAAGCTCCATTTCAACAAGTTCCAGCAGCTCAAGATCGTCAACAGCATCAACTTTGTTTAAAAAGCAGACAAGAGAGGGTACACCGACCTGCAAAGTATAAGAAAAAGAATCAATTAGAATCACCAAAAAAAGTCTATTTCAGTTATTTTCTGGTCTATCCACGAGTATCCACCTGGCGGGCAAGAAGAATATGCTCCTTTGTTTGAGGCATAGGTCCATCTGGAGCAGATACAACTAGAATACCACCATCCATTTGGGCAGCTCCAGTAATCATATTCTATAGATTAAAGCAAGTGATTAGAAATTGAATAAACAGGAAGTTTAGGATTATTAGAATTTCAGAGCAACTACGAGTCTATTATTAGCATTAACACCAGATGTATATCTTTACTATTTTTTTGGTGCAACATGGCTATTGCAAATGTTTTAGACACCAAGGTTGACTTCTTAAGCTTATTAAATAATCAGTAATTTAGCCCATACTGTAAATATTAACAGCACTTGTTGCTTACATTACTACAATTCTTTTAACTATTAAAAAGGAAATTTCGAGGAAAACAGAGTTACACTTATACTTGGAATTAATTTCTAACATCAAGCAGCAAAAAATAACCCGAATCCGGGATGTGTTATATGTCAATTTTTGCTCAAAGAGCCAAACAGATTCATCTTTAGGTAGGGATTGCCAAGTTACTATTATGTCTCAATGCAGAACTTGCAACTTGATGACCAAGTCTTCATAAGTTATATCTTCAACAAAAGAATCAATCACCACAAGTAACAACATATGGTTTAACTTACAAAGGAGAACAAAGTTAAATTATCTCACTTCAGAGAAAGATTTTTCGTAATCCCACAAGTTGCTCCCAAATAATAAATTGTCACTGTTGCCCCCAACTAACACTATGTTTCTTGTTCAGAGAGCAGAAAGCTTGAAGAACCATTAAACAATGAAACAACGTTTATTAGATCCCACCAAGAAAGGGTTGAAAGAATTTGATACTCACAAATCACAAGAAATTAGTACTGCAGTAGTGCTTTTTACACTAGGTACTCCTGCATAGGCCAAAATTTACCACACCAAACCATACTTTTTCAATCGGAGAAAGTGAAGCACAACGAGGTGTAAGAAAAGTTGGATGATGTCTACCACTTGGGGACCTCTATTGTGCCACAATATTTTAGCCTATAAAAATACAACTCCTGCCATTTAATTTGAATTGACACACTCTACTTCGCAACATCCCAAAATGTATTGATTATTATACCATCTTATTTATTGTATACTTCCATACAAAATTTGAAAAATCCACGTTTTGGTTATTTTTCAATTACTACAAATATAATAAACAAGTCAGAATTAATTGCTTAAACTCCAAAATTGATCACTAGTACCAAATAAAATGGGCCAATATTTAAGGCAATGAGGTAGATGGTCTAATATAATGAACTTCCTACTTTGATGGTTTTAACCAGGAATAAAGCAAATGGAGACATTCAATAGTCGATATTATAAAAGAATAGAGCTTATAGTTTTTAAGTAGTTTCAGTCTTCATTCACACAAACTTTTGATCTTAAGGGAACTAGGTAAATTGCTTAATTACTAGCTTCATGGTCAGTGAAATAAACTCTCAAGTGATACACAATTAACTGAGTACTATTCACAATTCAGGAAAGACATAATTAATTACTCCTACAGCAGTGGCAATACATAGAACATGGTGAACAAGCATATTGCAGTAAATATAGGTAGGTTTTGCATCTCACTTTAACGTAATCCGCGTGTCCTGGGCAGTCAACATGAGCATAATGTCTTTTAGCTGTCTCATACTCCACGTGGGCCTACAGAAACAACAGCTAAAGCATTAAATACAAATCGAAATAAAAAATATTACACCACTAAGGAAGGAGAAGTATCCCTACTGTAGCAATAGTAATTCCTCTCTTTTTCTCTTCAGGGGCTTTGTCAATTTCATCAAATGCAACCGCCTTGGCCTTTCCTTCTTCTGCTAGGACCTAGACAATGCATATGTGCTCATCAAACAATTGGTATTGAGTGGAAAGAAAAATTATTTTAAAAAAAAAGGGGATCTAAAAATGTTCGACATCATTCCATAAATAATATCTTTCTTTACAACCTTCAAAAATCTAATGAATTCAAATCCGTTTCTCAACTTCAAACTTTGATGTAACATTTTCTATACAATCTATAATCCACTGCCACAAGTATAATGATAATACACTAACTAATATAATAATTTTAATCGTTATGTCTTTGACTTTCTTACTATTAAGAATAGAAAACTATTGATAAGTCTTATGACAGTGAAATCTGTTCATAGTAACATAGCACACCAATTCTTCTTTCATTTAAAATGAAATGGAGGCAGTGATAAATACATAATGTCCAACCACACCAACCTTTGTAATTGCAGCAGTAAGAGTAGTCTTCCCGTGATCAACATGGCCTATAGTTCCCACATTTACATGAGGTTTTCTGCAGTAACCCAGATAGCAAAATTAGATTTTAACAAAATTCAGCTTAACCTCAGACCACACTTGTGCGATTATTACACTGTGTATGTCATTGTTGTAACAAAATTCAGCTAAAAAAGAATCAAAATGGCTACAGCTCAGGAGGCAATGATAACATCATCACAGGTAAAGCAGAAAGGACTTTCCAATATAAAAGAGAAATTAATTTTTTTAAAAAATTACATTAGTGTAACAAAAATTGCAGTGGATCAAGTGAATATATTAAGTCTCCACGGATTTAAAATCCTGAATCCGCCTCTAGACCAAAATATACTACACATTTATAACAAATTTACTATTCTGAGTTACTGCAACGGAAGTTTTTATAAGCTTACGTTCGAGTGAAGGTGGCCATGGATCTCCACCATGGATTAGAAAGACTGGAAGTATCATTTCCATTTTGCGTCTGGGAGAGTGAAAACTGAGAGGAAACTGATCCTCCTCTACAACATGAGTAGATTTGAGGAGAGAGTGACAATACGCGCTTCGAATTGGGATTCCTGAAAGCGACGGACGCCATTGGAGAAGATGAGAAGCTGGAAATGGCGTTAAGGGGTTTTGAAGGGTTTAGGTTTTTTCCAGTGTGTGTTTCTCCGGCTGTCCAGAAGGGTTTTACTTGGAAGGTGCTAAAACGACTGCGTTAGAGTGCTTACTTTGTTGATGGGCTTGACGGCAAATCATATGCTATGGGCTTTTTCGTACGTAGGCCCATGCAGTTTTCTTAAAGAATATATATATACGCGTACATACATTCATATATACATATATACTATAAGAGTATATATACATATATTCTTGCGGTATTATTAAGATTTATTATAATAGTCTAGTTATTTATTCATATTATTTTTTTATTAATTTGAAAATAGTTAATTAGTATTTTAAATTTTTGTATTTATTTTGTTTTCTTAAAAAGGAAGTAATATAGGGGGAAAAAAAAAAGGGGGGCGCGGGGGGGGGGGGATTAAAAAGAAGATTAACTAACGAAAAAAAAGAAAGAAAGACCAAAAAAAGAAGAAGAAGAAAGAACAAATAATAAAATCATTACCAAATGGTATCTCTAATAAAGAATAAAATGAAAAAAAGAATCAAAATAAAAATAAAAACAATAAATGAGAAAAAGAACAAAAGAATATGGACATAAAAATTTTGGGAGTTATGAATATTATTAAAAGTAAAAATTAAAGAGGGATAAGTTATGTGTAATAACTCCTTGTGAATAAATTAAAAATAAAGAGAAAAATCCTTAAAATATAAAAAAATATTATCATTTTATGAGTAGAAGTGAGACATATAAATAAAAAAAAGACTGTAAAGAATTTTTTTTAAAAAATGTTCCTCCATTAATAAAATATTTATTTATAATAAATTAAGTAATTTACTTTTTGCAACACAATAATTAATTTAATTTTTTTTAAAAAGCCAAAAAAGAGAAAAGGGGGGCTACCGGCTATTGATAGGTCCAACTCATCCAAGGAATTCTTTTTCACTTCTTACTAGTATACGTGCCCGCGCATTGCGTGGATGATTTAAAATGTAATAATTTTATAATTAAAAATAACTAATAAAATGTATAATGCACTTAAATAATATATTTAATTTATTGTAATAACAATATAATAATACAAATCATTAACTTGTGTATTTGAGCAATATTAAATTAATATCATTAGTACACTTTTATATATATATATATATATATATATATATAATTTATTCTTTTTATGTAGTTTGAATAAAAAAATTATGTTAATAATTTATTAATTCTAACCTTCCATATGAAATATTTGATATCATAAGACTAAATAACATGTTGAAACATTTTATATATGTTTATTCAAATTTAAAAGATTCAAAATATTAGTTATTGTATTAATTTGTGTAAAATATAATGTAGGATTAAAAATAATCTTAATTAGTACAATCACTATATTAGATTTAATCAATGTATGTAGATGATATATTAAATTTTAATTTGAATTATATCAGAAAACGTATGGATATAAATGAGAGGATGTTTATTTGAATTTATCCGATAAAGCTTATTATATGTAATTATAGTTATCTTTGAATTCAACTTTAAAAAGGTAAAAATTGAAAATTAAAAGCTTATCGTATATTTTAAAATCGCTATTTTCAACTTAATTTAATGTTGTTATATAATATTGGGAATAGTCTTAAATTTGCTAAATGACTTATAATAGTGATATTGTTCAAGATAGAATTTAACGCTAGCTAGATCATAAATATTATGTATCTTAAATTCAAAAGTTTAAATTTTATTTCTCATAAAATTAATTTCCAATTTTGAAATTTGATTGTCCTTTAAAAGTATTATTATGAAAATATAACCTAATACCTTCTATGTTTATGATAGTGATAAAGACTATCATTTTAATAATTTTTGCTATGACGATTCCTTAGTTATCTTGTGCTAAGGTTGAAAATCTATAAAAATAAATAAATTTATTTATATAAATAAATAAATAAATAATAATAATAATAAACATAGAAGACATTAAATTATGTTTATCATAACATTATACTTGGATTATTATTATTATTATTATTATTATTAGTTATATTTTTTAGATTATAGGTTATATCTTATTAAAAAAATATTTATTTTAAAATGCAAATAAAAAAACCTGAAATAAAATTTAAAATATTAAATATTAAATAATATTTAAATGATAAATTTTAAAAGAATCTTCCATACGTGGGGTTTTTTAAATAAATAATTTTAATTTAAAAGTTCTTCAATTTGTTTAGAAGTATGAGTGTAATGGGAAGTTTTAAAATTCCCGATTTAGTTGGGTAATTATTTTTTTTACAAAATAAATATTAAAACACCATTTTTTTTCCATACGTGTTTTTTTTTTAAAATAAATAATTTTAATTTAAACGTTTTTCAATTTGGTTAGAAGTGGGAGTGTAATGGGAAGTTTTAAAACATCCTAGTTAGTTGGATAATTATTACTATTTTTTCAAAATAAGATTAAAACGACATATTTAGTTGGTTGTTTTTAAAAAAAAAATTAATACATTAATATATTATTATTATTATCATTATTATTAGTTCGTTTTTTTTACGTATACGTAAAGATAGAACATATAGATTATAGGTTATATTATTAGTATATATATATATATATATATATATATATAATATATATATATATATATATATATAAAAGTAAAGATAGAACATAGATTATGTTTTATAAGAAAAAAAACTGATATAAAAGTTAAAATATTCAATAATATTTAAATATTTAAATGATAAATTTTAAAAGAAACTTCCATACCTAGTTTTTTTAAATAAATAATCAAAATAATATTAATTTAAAAGTTTTTCAATTTGTTTAGAAGTAGGACAAAGCATAGAGGTTATATGTTGTATTTTCCTTAAAAAATATTTATTTTAAAATACAAATAACAAAAAAGAAATTGATATAAAACTTCAAAATATTAAATATTATTTAAATGATGAATTTTAAAAGAAACTTATATATGTAGGTTTATAATATGAGGATATCTAATTAGTTTTAATAATTTAAATTAAGATATTTCAAAGGATAATACTTGATAGTTCCATAAAATTAGATAATGCTTGATAGTTCTATAAAATAATTAGGCTCAAAAACTAAATTTTAGATGCAGAACTTCCGTGTGTTTTTAATTTTTATATTTTCAAAGTTAAAATTTTTTATTTTAAACTTGAAAACCAAAAAAATTAGCATTTCTATTTTGAAATTTAATTTAAGTATTTTTGTTTTTTTAAAAATATTTTTTTAGGATTCGAAATTTTATAATAGTTACTGCTGTGTAAGTTTACACGTATACATAAATTTTAAACTAATCCCACTAATTTTGAAATAATTAACTACCAATACACCTTTTTTTTTTCAAAGACAATTTTATTATTTTAAAAAAATATTGCTTTTTTCTGGCGATGACATATATAAATTTTAATCCTAAAAGTTACAGAAATATCTTGTATAACGCAAATCATCTCATTGTAGGCATCCCCGTCTTGATAGTCTAAACTTGTATTATCTAAAAAGTCGAAATAAAATCATAAGTATTATTGTTTTAAGCAATCATAAATAATATATACATAAAATTATATAGTTAAAATCCGGAAACAATTTACATCAATAAATAGTAGAAACTCTTTATAAGAATAAATACTATTAAGGAAGAACCATGTTCCAATAATACGACTTTAATCTTTCTGTTTCATTGCAAATTTCTTTTGCAACATTTCCTGCGGTATTCCTAGACATTGGCTTGCATAAAAATTATATTGATAAAATTAATATTATATAGATTATTGATTTTACATATCTTTAATCTAAGAAAAAACAATTGCATAAGAAAACCTAAAGAAAAAGAAAGAAATAGAGAAGCTTATATTTAAGAAAAAGAAGAAGAAAAAGATCGACTATACCTATTTTATTTTTTTTGCTGGTCTCATCACAATCCGGTAGTTTTCCTGTTTGGAAAGAGAAGAATGCTCTTTGTAGCCTTTTGTTTGTTTGTTAGAGAGACATCCTATTTATGCTCCTCAAAATGATGAAGTTGTGTTTTTGAAATTTAAAATTATATCTCATTCTAACCGTATAAAAAAACTGACATGTGTTTTTTAAAAAAAAAAACATATTTCTTTTTAAATTTGATTTTAAATACTGAAATTTGAAGATTAATTGTTATGATGATACATACGCCATTTTTCTTTATATATATAGATAGATGTGGATGAGATGGTCTATTATTAATAGGTTTCTGTATATAGAAAAAAATGGTTCTATTTTTCTTTTTATGTAAAATTTATTATGCAGAGGTTTTATTTTCTTCAAATAAATTGGCGGTTTATATTTTTTTGGTATTTGTAATTATGGTGCAGAATGATTTTATTTTTTTTCAAATAAATGGCAAATGAATTTGAGTTTATTTTAATATTGTTAAAAGTTATGTCGTAGAAATTTTTTAAAGTTCCTATTTTTGGTCTTTGAATTATTTTATTTTATTTATTTTATGTATGACATATAGTCTATTAAAAGAAAAGGAAAAAAATCTTTTAAAAACTGCTCATTTTTTAAAGGAATTTAATTTTTAAGTATTTTGTTGTTACTTGCACCTAAAATTTAGCATCATTATCTATATATCATGTATAATTTTAATTTTAGTTTCAATTTTAACTTTTATATTTTTAAAATTTATTTTAAAAAAGGCAGTTAGCATTTTATTAGGAACAAAAATATTCATTTTATTTAAACAAAAAAAAAAGATTACGTTAAAACAGTTTTTAACGTAAACAATTTCTTAAAAACTGTTTTTAATTTCTGTTTTTTTTTAAATGTTTTGTTATTTAAATTGTTATTTATTATTTAATATATCTACAAATTTTGTGGTGCTGACACGTGTCACTTTTTCTTCTCCTTTTATATATAGATAGATTACAAACGTAGCCCTGCACTCTGAATCAGAGTTAAGAAACTGTTTTTCATCAAATTAATACAGAGAGCTTCTTTTGATGCATATTCCAAGTTAAGGGACGTTTAGAAAAGGAGGACAATTACATTAGAAA